AATTAAACATACAATGTACTATTATGGCTTTATGCATCAATTGCTTGTGATACAGTTCTTGTGCATAATCCAGAAAATAGTTTAAGCATAAAACTGAGTCCGGTTGTTCCACCAGGAATATAACTGACAAGAAACCTATGCAACAAAAAGTAAAGGTCAGTTAAGCACAAATATGCATTCCATAAAGAGCTGCAATAGTTGTCAAGCCTCTATTATTTCAATGTACATTACGGCAACAAAATAGTGTATAGCTAGTAATTGTAGAGTGGTTTTACTGCTAAATTTTTGATGACTAATGGGTTTTAACTTGGAAAATTTGTGGCCATATGCTGCACGTAATGGTTAAAAATTGTAGGATTAATTTTGGCAAATGGGTTGTCAAAATACCAACATTTCCTCTCTAAAACTAAGAGCAATGATGATCATTACAATAGTCTAGTCCTAGTTATTATGTAGCTTCACTAAACTGCTTGCCTCAACTGTCAAAGTTCAACATAAATCTTACCAAATTAATGCTAAGATTTGCAATGCAGCACAGAATAAAGTCAATATAGTACTGTGAACCTAACAAATCAAAATTAATGATGATAAAGTAGTAATTATTATTGGTTTATCTTACTCCCAGTGCAAAGTATAATGTCGCTATTATAGTTCCAACATACACAGCAGTGAATGGTAGTCTGTCTCTTGAGAGGAGATGCTTTAAGTGTGACCAAGGACCCCATAAAAATGAAAAACTATGCACAAAATAAAATACTGCAATACACACTTCATTTAACTGTAATATATACCTGCCCAAGCTAAAAAGACTCCCCATGGTGAAAAGAGCTGCAAACTTGCGAGACTTTAACAAAATCATTGGTGTCAATGCCAGTGCCTATAATAATTAAACATTTTTGAATGACTTTTTATTTTTGTCACTGACTAGTGCAAAGCATAAAATCCCAAGTCCTAAACATAAAAAGAATCCAACAATCCTTTCCTTTTTACTCTAAAAATAATAATTAAAAATAAATTATAAATTGTAATAGCTTTATTTACTAGTCCAAAAGCAGATCCAGATCCTATACTATCTGTTTGTCCTGATTCTAAATTTGAGCTGCCGTTACCTCCCCACAAACTGCTCAAAGCTCTGGCTATGCTGTTGGACTTGCCCTCCATTTTATAGTGTTGCCACACCTTTTTAAAGGAGTGGCTCATTTTAAAGCCACGACCACAATAAAAATTAAAATGTCGATGTTTCTTGGTCGTGTCATGAAATGTAAAGCAAATAATACTGTAAAAGTATCTGTGACTAGGAGCTATCTTCATCCATTAGTATTAAAAGTAATCATCCCCTATTTGTTTAAATCATTATTGTTTTCTCAGTACACTGCAAAAAGGAGAAAGTTTGAAGTTCATGACGAGAAAAGCTGCAATGTTGGGGACTTGGTCCTGATCAAAGAGATGCAGCAAAAGATTCAAGACAAAGCTTTCCGTGTCAGTGAAATAATAGAAAGAGCAGAAACATACACAGACCCAGAAACTGGTGAAATTCATTATCAACCATTCATGTAAAATTAAAAATACGGTAGATCTATTAATAAAATTAATTACCACGTGGTCGTGGGTGGTAGTTGCCAATAGCAACCGCTAAACAACATGGCGGCTAATGGAAGCACTATGCTGGATCATGGTGTAGTTTTACGTGCATTGAGAAGCAAGACCACTACCCTTTCACTGGACAACACTAAAATAGATGCTTTGCCTCCATCTCTGACCAAACTAACTTTTCTAACAAAATTTTCAGCCAAAAACAACAGTCTAACTGATCACGGACTCTCCCCTGCTCTAAAATCACTCACAAAAGTTAGTATTTTAGTAATCCTCTGTAACCTTAAGGGTATTATGCAGTTGCGTGCAATTAACCTTGGATGCAATAAGCTCTCATGTCTCCCAGTCTGTTTTATGGAAATGCCAGGATTGCACAATATACATTTGTTCAGTAATGAAATAGAACAACTTGACGAAGATGTTCTTGGTAGGTATAATTGATGAAATGAGAGAGATGGGTGCATACTTTGCCATTGTGTTTATTGATATTGCAAATCTAATACCGCAATAGAATGCTTAACAGAAGTTATTGTACTTAATTTAAATGGAAATTTGATTGATCATTTACCACCAGCAATTGCAAGGTATATATAATGTATACAACAATCCTATGGAATTTTTACATGTTAATGATAGCTTGAATAATTTAACTACGCTAGGAATAGCTAGCAATCGACTGAAGTTTATTCCTCAGGAAATTTCCCACCTGTCATCTCTCGTTGTGTTACATGTAGAGGATAATCAATTGCAACAGTAAATTGCAGTTTTTTTCATAAACAGTACATATGGTTTTCTTCCAGCTTGCCGTCTGGCATTTCACAGCTAAAGAAATTAACTAGAATTTATGCACAAAAGAATAAACTTCAATCATTAAATCCTGTAAATGAAATCAGACATTTATAGAGTCACATTTTCAGTCCTCTCTTTTAGCTCATCAGCTGTTGCACATCGTTACGAGTCCTGGATATTTCTAGCAATCAGATACAATTCTTTCCTCAAGAGGTATTAATGTACACTGAATTGCTTTTAAGTTCATCATGTTTGTACAAAGCTAGGAGAAATGAAGTTAAGAGAGTTTCATTATGAGCTGAATCCTTTAATACCTTTCATTCCTATTCCTTCATCAGCAAC